ACCGGGTAATGAATTCCCGAGAGTTCATATATGACTTGAACTATGTTGTGAAATGATCGTTAATGCCCATGTTTATGTTGAATTCCCGAGAGTTCAGATATGACTTGAACTATGTTGTGAAATGATCGTTAATGCCCATGTTTATGTTGAAATCGAAAAATGAATTTAAAAAATTATATCTTGATTTTTGGAAAAGTTCGAAATTTCTTTAAAATCAAACTGGGGCGTTACATGCTTAGTCCATTCATTTTTTTTACAAAATCAGTCTCAGTATAGATATAGATAGGTACATTAGGATGCATATTTAGAGATTGCATCCATGTACATGATATTGAGATATCTTATAAATAGATGGTTTGTACAAGAAAGATATTCCCCCTATATAATTTCAGAATGCGCTGAGGTTAAGTGGCAAACTCTCACACTTCGAAATCCTATTTGACAAAAAATCATGCTTCAGAGTTAGACGTAGATACAAATTAATATTTTTTATCCAACAATAATTATTCTGAGATTTCATTTAATGCTTACTAGTATAATACCCATGTACTATACGGGTGGGTGATAAAAATAATTAAATGTACAACAAAAAAATTATATATTTTGTTGAAGTTGGAAAAAAGAAGTAACGTATATAATAATTTATAATAAATAACTAAGTGTATTAACGATATTATTTTAAATTCTGAAAACTAATTTATATATTGCATTTATTTTATTTATAATATATTTTTTTTAAAACACGTAAGGGAATAATATGAACAAAGCAAAAAATTTAGAAAGTAAGATTATATGCATGTTATAGAAAGAAGTTAACAAATAGATTTATATGGAATGATTTAAATATATTAAATATTTGTATATATATGGTAATTCGAACCCAAGTTATTTGGTATAAAAATTAGTAATTTTTTATCCAAGTCATATTATAAAGCATAATATTTCGCCACGTAAGATTACGAATCATGCAAAGCTGCTCAACGCATTCTGAAATTATATATTAGAGGAATTATTCACATTAAGTTAATGATTGAATTTTTCCTTCTTTACTTCTACAATTAGTTACCATAAAATATTTTCATTTCCTTTTCCTACATTATTATACATCACATTTCATTTTCTTATTTAATTTATACATAAATTATTGTAAATCTTTTTTTACTATTATTTTTAAGATTCTGTAACTTTTTTGTTTTTTGTATTTTATTTTTCATATGATCTATCAAATTAACTATCTTTTAACGATTTTTGATTTGACATCCATATTATATATTAATACAAGTCTAACGCTCGCCCGACCGAGAACCGCAGCAAATACGACTTCCTCCACCGGTCGAACGCTGAACCTGCACAAAAACTCTCACACCGGAGGTATTTTCCGGTGAAGAGCCTCCAACGCTCAAGTCAGATCTTGAGAGATAAAGATATATCTGAGAATCTTAGGAAAATCGGAAGTTATCTAAAGGCGATAATCCTCGTCCCTATTTATAGGGACGAGTTACCTGTTGTCCACGCGCGATTAGGCGAGTCTCGCCCTCCATTCTTCGCTCGTCCGTACGGTCGCGCGTCTCCACTTTCTCCGGTGTCAGAAAACGCGTCAGCTGCGCCAGAGAATGTCAGAGTTCGTTATCCCTTGGCCCATTCATATACCGCCGCGTGTCCACCTTCCATGTGACGGAGATCCTTTAACATATTCTGGCTTTCGACCAGATCCGTCCATGTGTCCTCACGTGTAACTACTCTGGAGGCAGGAGACGATTGGTCTGTGCCTGTACTTGCTGGGGCATCCCTGCTCGACCAGGTGCTAGAGATTCTATGGACATGTCGGTACTGCTCGACCAGACCCATACGCTGCTCTGTTTGGAGTGCCCTCCGAACCGGT